GCTCAGCAGGACAGCGGACATAAAATTTGGGATTGGTTGTCGTGCTGATGCCAGGGTGCTTGTCATGATGGTGCTGATTTCCGTCTGCGGTTGTTACTTCAGTAGTAATACTTGTTTTGCCGTTGTTGTCAGTGCTATTGCTACTACTGCTGTCGCTCTGTGCCTCCCACCTGCCACCTCTTATGCCTGCCGCCTGATACTGACACCTCCCACCTCCCGCCTCCCGTCTTTCACTTGGGAGGTGCGGAGGCAGGTGGTAGGGGGGAGGCGGAGGCGGGAGGCGGGCGGCAGCACCGAACCGCACCGCACCGACAGGCATATCCCCGAAAGAAACCGCAGGCAACGCCAACCGTACCGAACCGAACCGCAACACCCAGATTCGTTGTCTCTCACCAAGAGTTTAGAAACCCTTTACATATCGCTGTTACAGCCGCTCGTTCTCCATATTGCTGTACGCATGGGCTTTTAGCAAATCGACCACTGCACATCACTACACGTTTCTTGTTGATACCAGTTGTTTCCCCATAGTCTTCGTTTACCATTGGAAGTCATGTTGTTGTGTGCTTTTGTGTTACCCTGTTTGTCAATAGATCATGCGAACTTTCGACTACCAACCATCCTGCTAAATGTTGATTATGGTTGCATGGTGTGAGCCTTCGTTGGAGTGGATCGGAGCAAAAGTTGCTTCAAGGCGTAGGCCGGATGTGCAGGCGGAGGCTAAGGGCTTTGAGCTTTCAGGATTCTTCAAGCATACTCGGGGTTCGGTGCAAATCTTGTAAGTTTTCTTTGGGCTTGGAATTGAATTCCGGATGCACCGATCATTCCTGTAGCTGCTTCGGTTCTTACTCTTCGATGCCTGGGAGGCCCACCCTAAGCCTGACAGTCTGAAAGAAAGCACACCAAACAAAATGCATCCAGCCGAAGTGCGACAGTTCAAATGGTGTTTTTAGAACAATCGGGACCCATGGGACCCTAATACATAGACCCTGCATAGCAGGATAGTTTACAAGACGAGGACACCCCCACCGGCAAAAACAAAAAGACACCCTAATGAATCTCGAGGACCAGCGGACCAGCACCGTAAACGCCACCCTTCTAAGCGGGGAGGGGATTGGGGCCCAGGTTGTTGAAGGATCTTTTGGCATCGTGAGTTCAGACCCAAGAGCCGGAAGCCCACGTTGCAGCTGCCATGTGCCCCACAGGGAGAAACAGTCCCCTTTATGACACAGTCCTTGTCAGCAAGATCCTTTTGTTTACGGGGTCTTTAATGCCATGGGATTCTCTTTCTGATACCCCCCGCGTATCCAGTACAACGAAAAGCAGACAGCCCATCGGGGGTTGGGGCTCGCCCCTAGCTTCTGCCGAAAGCTTGCCGAGATGATAAGCCAAACATGGTGCCTCAAACTACTGGCTCCTTACAGAAACCTAGTAAGCAAAGACCTTGGGGAGGGCTAACTACGTTTGAATACTTCATTTACCAAATCTGGGTGGCCAGACGGGTGATAGTAGAGGATGACCGCCGTCGCTGTCGACCTGGTGTGCCACGCCGTCAGTCGTCTGCGTACTGTTTTGTTATGAGCTCAGTCAAGAGTCTCAGTCAAGTTAGCAGCATATGCGTTCTGCACTTGGAACATCATTAAAAGCTTCATGCTGTAAAGCACTGCGTCTGCGCCCCAAACGGCGACCAGAGATGCTAAGCTACCGTACCGGCAAAATGCGACAACCTCGCTAAGAAACAAACATCACTAACCCACTGACACCTGCAAAAAGTGCGATTGCTCCGAAAATGGCGAAAGCTCCCATAGCAATTTCCTTGCGTGAGCAAGTTTCTCACCTGCTTGCACGGAGTGTGACTCCTTATGGCTCAATGCTTTCCGTTTTCTCAGTGCAGTGAGTCAGCAAAGAAAGTTTACAAATGGCGGCCCAGCGCTTGTCCTTGAGCGGACGGATTGAACAAATCACAAAGACCCTGCCATATCGAGTATGCACCTATCTACCATCAATGCATCACGATAGTTGCAGCCTTTCCTGCGCTAGAAATCCACACTCTAGGAGGTCGTGCCCCTACCCATGGGCCCCATAGTACTTCCTTTTTGGGATTACCTTACAGAATTCTAAATATGAACCCCCAAAAAGGAACTACTATGGGGCCTATGGGTACACCCTAAACCCTAAACCCTAAACCTCAACCCCCAAACCCTCCAAAAAGGAACGCCTATGGGTAAACCCTAATCCCTTAGACGACAGCAGCGAGCCTCCTCTTCTTCCCCGATGCGGGGCCGGCTCTTTTCAAGGGTCTCGGCCTGCATGTGACGGTCGTCGAAGCTATACCAAAACCTACCAAAACCTACCTTTTTTCTGCAGGGTCCCTATAAATTCCATATTAGGGTTTATAATAAGAACCTACAAAAAAAGTAGGGTTTGGTAGTTTAAGGTACTTCCTAAACCCTACCTGGTCCCCAAAGAACCTACCTTTTTAGGGTTCCTTACTTCCTAAACCCTAAACCCTACTTGGAGGTTCATGGGTAGTTATAAATGGGGTTATAAGTCCCCTAATATGGGTTATAATTACAGTTACCCTACTTATAACCCCACTTATAACTACACTACCCATGAACCTCCAAGTAAACTCCTAGTCCTATACCCGAATCTAACCTGGCTGTAAAATGGCCCACCTATGGGGGTGTAACTTGTCTTATCCACAATGAGCCAGCCTCAGCCTTCGCTAGGGCTCACATTGCACATTCATGCAACCATTCTTGAATGCTCGTGTGCTTGTGTTCTTGGAATCAATGCTAATACAACTTCTTCAATGTACAAA